TGCCGTTGCAAAATGTACTCGAGACACTCGCGGCGCAGCCGTTTTCTCGCGACGCAGCCGGGGGGTGTCTTGGGCTGGGCAAAAGCGTGATAAGTTTTCCACGCGCATCTTCCTCTTCCTATATTTCTGCAAGCCGGGAGTGGTGGGGGAACCCTTCCCAACCAAAAAACAACAAATTGACTTCCAGGATCGGGGGCTTTGGGGCCCTCTGGACGCCCTGGGAAGAGATTCCTGGGCCCTTCGGGCCTCTAAGGGCGCCTTGCCGGGCCTTGCCAGCAGACCCAAGACGATCGGAGGAGTGGTCGGAGAGGCGCCAGAGAGCCTCCCAGACAGCGCAAGAGCGCTCCAAGAGTGGCCCAGAAGGCCTCAAGGTGGCCCAAAAGGACCCCCGAGACGGCCGGAATGTCGCTGTCGGAATGCCGCGATGGCTCAAGCCTGAACGATCCAGATTGCCAGAAATCGACGCGCAGGCCCTCACGACACGAGCCGTCACAGGATCGACGGAGGAGGTTCAGGATTTGGGTCCATGGTTCGACCCTCGTTGTTTCATAATTAGTGCCTTCCGCTCTTTCGGAGCCTTCGGAGGCGTTCTCGTCGCCCCGTGGCCAGGTCCGCCTCGAAACTCGGCACCAAACGCGGCTGAAGAGAAGTTTTGGGGTGCTCTTTCAGCGCGAGACGCCCGCATAGGTAAGGCGAGGGAGAGAACAAGGACGGAACGGGGGCGAGACAGAGATGGCGCGAGGGACCAATTTTCTGCGAAGCTTGGAGGGCCAAGGTGCGTGGCGCGAAGCGCCAATGCAATCGTCGTGTATGATGTGTATATGCAACACAGACGGGCCGACAGAGAGAGAAGGAGAGAGAGACAGAGAGAGAGAGAGCTGCGGCTGGGGCGTGCTGGATGCTCTGCGGGTGTCAGATCCTCCGGGTCAGCCGGGAGAGCGTCGCTGGCTGCAGAAAAGGGGCCCTCGCTAGGGCCCCCCCCCGAGGGGGCCCTCTGGGGCCCAAGCGGGGGCCTCGCAGGGCCCGAGAGAGGGGCATCTTTCTCCCCCTCCCCATGGACACGCCGGCCGTTGAAGGCAGGTAGTTTTTTGGACTCCCAGACCGAAGTCTGCTCGAAAGCGCCTCCCTACTTCAAGACTCGATGTGCTCTGGCTGTGGTTTGTTATTTCTCTGGGATGGCCCGAACCCGATCTACTTCATCCGCCTTCCCACTTCCTGTTTCTCCCTACTTCTTCCGACTGGACCCCCCCCCTCTTACGTCGCGCCCAACTGGAGGGGGCTGCTCCGCGTCGGGCCGGGCTCTCCCCCGCAAGCGCCCTCGCCCCTGCGCGCCAGACTCGAGGCCCCCAGGGATCGTCCGGCCAAGCCTTAAGTCGGGCATGTCCCTTACAGCAGGAATCTCAAGAAATAGTCCAGAAATGGCCTGGGGAAGAGGTGCCGATTATTTTTCACTATTCGTGAGCATGTCTCGGCTATCCTTTATCTTTCTCCCACACTCCGCCTGTAGGAGGACATGCAAACCTAAACCGCCCTAAGTGGCACCTAGAACATTTGCATCTGGCACCTAGAACTCGTCCGTCTTCGGGCCAACTGGCCTCGACGTAGCGCGGCCCTGAGCCGATGAGGACTTACCTTCCCCTGGAAGGAATACTCGAATACTCGAAGTGAGTAGCCGCATGGCATTGTTGTATTGTTTCCAGATTGGATTCGCATTGGGTCATACTGGGGCCATAGGTGTCATATTTGAATCGTTGGATGATCTCGGGGTCGATTCGGCGTCACGCGGTGCTTCTGGCTCCGTCTTAGCGCCACGATCGGCCAGTCGCGATCGGCTGCGAGCCTTTTGCTGCGGGAGCGCCCTGGGAGCGCCCCGGGCGCTCCCGGAGATGATCGCAGGCGCTCCCCCCCGGGCCCCCGACGTCGTGATTGCTTCGCAGCGTCGGACCCCCGGAGGTCTGAAGCCCTTCCATGCAGGACCGGTGGTTCATCCCGAGTCGTTTTCTTTGACGGCCCCGGGGCCCGGCGAGGGCCCCCGGAAGCCGAGAATTAATCAGCGGAAGGCCGCCCGCCGTGACTTTTTCACAGCGCGAAAGGGTCTGTCATGGCGCCCACATCGCAGAGCGGATTTGGTTCGGAAAACGATAGGGTGGGCCCTGGGTGTCCTGGAGAGTATCGTTCCGGATTTCGAGGTGAATTTCGCGCGTACTCTTGTATGGCCAGGAATGAAGACCCGAAAGAACCCACGCGAAATTCACGTCGTTTTTCGCTTGCCGCTTCGGGCAAAAATCCACGCAGAAATCCGCTGCAGCACGCCTGCAGGGCCAGTGCAGTGAGGTCTGGGCCAGGCGCTCCCGGGCGCTCCACGGGGGGGGAGGAGCGCCGTGACCGGATCACCGCCTGCCCCTCGATCGACGAGCGAGCGTCGTCCCTCTCCGCTTAAGTCGGGCATGTCCCTCTACAGGAGGGATATTCAAAAATAGATAAGAAATCGTATGGGGACGACTTTTCTATAATGTTTCGCTTTTTGTTGAGATTTGTTTTTGCCTCTTTTTTATTTTTCGTCCAAGATCCGCTTGTAGGAGGACATGCCCGACCTAACTCTCCGTCCAGGTGAACGTTTTTTTATTCATTGTTTTGCCGACTGGCGCGGGCATTGGGCCCCCCCCCTCCCCCCCCCTTCCGTGGAGTAGATCTTGGCTGTTTCGGGCGCCTGTTTCGGGCAGGCGGAGTCTCCCCCACAGGACGTTCTGTTGCAGACAGTCGCACTAATTAAGCAGAGGCCTGGAGCCAGACCCTCCCCCCCCCCTCCCCCATCCCCCACTTCCGCCCAACGTCGAAACTCCGAACCAGGAAACGCTCACGAGCCCAGCTCCTCCGTGCGAAGCAAGACGCCTCCGAGCACGGCTGCCTGCTGCCGCTGCCCGCTGGCCTCCCTCACGGCCGGCCTCTCCGGCGCCGCAGCGTCGCCGTCCTGAGCCGATCGCCCAGGGGAGGCCCGCCGAGGTTGGGGTTCCACCGAGACGGGACGAACAAGCCCATGATGCTGGTCTGCCTCCTGCATTCCTGCTTCTCCCCCCCGCCATCCTCTCCCCCCCTCTCCTGCTCCTCCTCGCCTTCGTCTTTATTATTCCTCTTGTTTCTTCTTGCTTCGTCTTCGTTTTCGTCTTCTTATGAATTATGATGCCTCTTTGGGTCCACCTCTGTACATGTTGCTTGGAGGATCTCCCGCGTTGAGCCGGTGTGAGAGATGTACCCTCCCGCCGCAGCTGCCCCCGGAGACCCAAACACACCGCGATGAGTTCGCGAGCAGTGCAGGACGCTGATAGTGAAAGGTGCAACCGTCAGATTGAGGACCGCATTTGGCCACTCAGGGAGGCCCCCCTGTCGCACCCCCTCCTCCACTCCCAGGCTGCCACTGAGAACTCCATCGACAACCCACTTACATGTCCCTTGACATCACCCCGATTTACTCGGTGCTCACTGCAGTGCTGAATGGGCCCCCCCTCCCCCGCCGCCGACATTTTGAATTGATTTTGACCGGCGAGCACGCCGCCATTTTGTTGGCTGTTCTCCGCGCTTGTTTTTTCAAACGAGTTCGCTCAGGCGCCTGGGATCGCTCGCGCGCGCTTGCGTTAAGTCGGGCATGTCCCTCTACAGGAGGAACATTAAAAAACATATTCGTTGTTGTTTTGTTCACTATTTGGGGGCATTTGTTTTAGACAGTTTTAATGTTTCGCCCAAAATCCGCCTGCAGGGGGACATGCCCGACCTAACGCTTGCGAGTGCCCTGCGGGGCGCCTGAGAGCGCATCCGAGCAGTTGATTCCGACAGGTTTAAGCGTTCGCATTTCCTCCGGCATGTCTGTCTCCAGAAGGGAAGGTTTGACGCTCCAGTGTGACGCTGGCAGGCCCGGCGGGGGCCGCGGCGGGTGTCCGTGGGGACCAGGCTTAAGTCGGGCACGTCCCTCTACAGGAGGAATATTCAAGAATAGTTAAAACAAATTCTGGGGACGATGTTTTGGCATTTTTTGACCATGTATGAGCATTTCTTGGGTACTTGTAATTTTTCGTCCAAAATCCGCCTGTAGGTGGACACGCCCGACCTAAGACCAGGCGGAACCCAGGGAAGTTTGCTCGCTGGCGCCTTGGATGACTGCCAGTGACGGCTAGAAGGCTTTCTCATTCTGCGTGCTCGTTCCGGCGCACTCCAGACTGAGCACGCCCTTGCATGGAGTTGTGGACGGTTGGACGGGTGGATGAGCAGATGGACCAGGCAGGAGGGAGCGAGAGACAGTCGAAATACCAGTTACGGTTGCGGGATAGGCATTAATAATGTTTGCACAATTTTCGCCTTATCTCTTTTTCAGGTTCCGATTGGTCTGAAAATCAAGGGGCCCAGATATGGTACCATCTTCAGCTGCCTGCGGCAAGTCCCGCCACCGTGCCAGACCATAATTATGATAGCGGCTGTTCGAGGGGGAACGAGAGGCCGTCACATGTGAGACCTCGTGTCCCAAGCTTGGGAGAGTCGTGATGAGGATGATGGGAATGAGGAGGAGGAGGAGGAGGAGGAGGAGGAGGAAGGGGAAGGGGAAGGGGAAGGGGAATGTCGTCATATGTGACACCCTTCGTCTTCGTGGAGATCATTTGGGCCGTCTTGGAGGCTCGTCAAGTTCCCGCTCGGGGCGTCTTGGGGCTCGTTTGGGATATCTTGTGACCTTTCTGGGCCGTCTTGGAGCCCTCTTGGCGCCCTCGCCGTCGTGCGGTGTTCTTGGGAGCCTCTCGGGCCGTCTTGGACGTCGTGAAGACCGAAAGCCAGGATACGAGAATAATGAAGGATGGAAGTTGATAATTTTGGCTACCAGAACTCGGATCAGTTGGAGCAGCATTCAAGGATGGACGATTTGGGAATCCGTAGCCAGTTTGGCTTCAGGCGAGGCTCGTTCTCCTATTCGAGCGCTGCCGCTTGCGCACCGCTCCCCTCGCTCGGACCGCGGTGGCATGGTCTCCGCCGCGATGCCGGTCGATGCAGGTCTTCCGTTTGGGACGCCTTCTTCCGTGAACCTCCCGGAGGGCGCCTGGGATATGGCCGGACTGGGGGCTTCGGGCTCCGACCACCTGAGGCTCAGGCGGGGCTGGCAGCTGAAGAACGCGCAGGTCGCCCTGCTCCTCGCGGCCGACCGCGTCGCGGCGAAGGAGCGGTCGGAGGCGGACCGGAGGGCGGCACAGCGCCAGCGGTGGCAGCGGGAGGCAGCGGAGCGCAGGGCCAGGCTCGAGCAGGCGAGGGAGGGCGGCCAAGCCTGCGCCGGGCACCACCTGCAGCACCGGGAGTTCCCCTGGTCCAAGGGCGGCCCGGCGGCCTTCGGCTGGCGCAGGCTGTACCACGCCCTGTGCGGCGACGTGGCGGCGGTGCCGCAGGTGGGGGTCCTCTGCGAGTGCGTGATCAGCCAGGCCCTCATGCGCATGTACACCGACCACCGGGTGCTGGGCGGCGTGGTGCTGCCGGGCGTGTCGCACGTGTCCCTCTTTGCGGCGACGGGCGCGAAGCACCTGCCGGGCCCGATGGGCACCTCGGACTGGCACATGTCCGTCAAGGAGGTGCTCTTCGAGCGCCCCTTCCTCATATACTCGGGGAGGGAGCTCATCGAGGCGGAGGAGGCAGGCAAGGGGGACGGCCAGGTGGGGGTGCCAGTCACCTATTGCCGCGCCAGCGGCATCTCCAAGGAGATGGGATCCATCAAGCCATCGGTCGACTTCAGCAGCGGCGCCCTGTGAGAAGCGCCCTGCGAGCGACGGCGTGAGTTTTCCAGGATCCAGGTTCCGTTCGCTGTAGGGTCGGGGCTCGCGTAACTCACCGAACGCGTTCCACTACTTGCAAAGTGCCTACTCGCAAGCGTCCGAAAAACACATGTCTGCTTCGATGCAATTCACCGCAGATCCCCCGCGTCGGATCCAGGCCATTCTCGAGCAGGTGCTCTGCGATTAGTGGAACGCCCTCGTCTACCCAGAGGGTCCAGAGGTGTCATACATGCTTAAGCACTAAGCATGTCTATAGATGCTTAGGTAAGTTCTCCGGGCGCCGTTCAACAAAGGCGTTTCCCGCTTGTCAATTCGTAGTTTATTTTTGGGTTGTTTGTGTTTAGTGTGCTGAATTTTGTTATTCGGTCATCAATGTTCGTTAGTTTTTGGTGTTTGTTGTGTCTAATTTGGTTTTGTTTTTGCATGTCCACTGTTTTTGTTGGTCTCTGTGTTGGTTGTTCGCATTGTGTTGCATTATGTTGTCCTTTTCTGACGGTTCGTCTGGTGTTGGTGTTGTATGTTTTTTGTGGTTTAATATTTTAGTTCGTGCAATAGGATTCATTTGGCGTTTTTGCTGTATGTTCTTCTGTTGTTTCTTGTTGGCGTCGGCGTCGCTGTTTGGTTCGCGCGCGCTTCGCCGTGGAATTGTTACAGGAAAGGCGCCCCAGCACAACGGAATGGCGCAAGCCCCTTGCATATGTTCCTCCAGTCCTCTTCCTTCTTCTTCCTCTTTCTCGTCGTGCCTGTTGTCCTCTTCTTCCTCTTTCTTTTCTTCCTCTGCCTTTTCCTCGTCGAGCCCTTCCTCCTCCTCTGGTCCTTTCCTCCTCCTGCTTTTCCGTCTCTCCCTTCTCTCCCTCCTTCTCTCTTTCGGTCCTCCCGCCGGGCGGGAGCGGGGTGCACGGCGGCGACGGCGGCGAATCACGTTTTTCTCGTCGGCAATCCCTGGGATCGTCGCCACAGCTGGGGTGCCATGTCGAAATGTTGGTCAGACCGCGTTTTTTTCTGTGGCTTCTGGGCCTTCCTCGTCGCCGCGGCTGGAATCGAATCGCTCGAAAATCCAAGGTCAGAACGCAACGCGTTCAGGGGCGCCGACGACAACGGCGACCACGACGGCGGCGGCAGCGAGGATACGATATACCAATGACGCTGATCACCAGAGCGTGGTTTGCGATCTGACCTGAATTGCGAAGCGCATCCAGCCATGGCGACGTTAAGCCAGATTTGTTCAGCGTGATCGGAATATCGTATATTCTCCTCTTCTCCCTCTTCCTCCTCGCTCCTCGACCCAAGGTCTTCGATCCCAGGGGGCCGCGGGGATCCCAGGGTCCGAAACCAAACACTCGAAGAACATCGAACACTTAGGGGGCCGTAGGAATCCAAAGGTCCGAAACCAAACATCAGAACAATTTCGAAAATTATTGGCCGCACGAAACCCAGAGTCCGAAACCAGAGGGTCAAAGAAGATCGAACATCCAAAGGCCCCAGGGATCCGAATCTCAAAGGCCAGGGGGCCACAGGAACCCCAGGGTCCGAAACCAAACATGCGAATACTATCGAAAACACCATGGGCAGCAGGAGCAAGGAGGGCTGGAGAAGGGAAGGAGAGAAGGCAGGGGGAAGCTGGGGCGAGAGAGAACACATTGCTTCAGCATGCGATTTCACATTTTTCTCACACCACAGTATCATCTGAAAGCCTGTTAGCCTCAACATCGAGCATGCGAGTGACAAGGCCAATCGCATATTTATCAACTGAACCGGTAACGACAGTATTTGCGTGACATGATTTCGCAGTCCTGATCATGATGCCGACCATATCTTCGTCACTGAAGCAGTGAAAAAATCGTGGATTATTTTTGTCGTCCAGGGCGTCCAGCAACAAGTGCTGGAACTGATGCATCTTAGGAATGTGCACCCACAGGGTTGGGTCCGCCGAGGCCCGATTCAGCTCAGTATACATGTGTAAAAACGTGTGGCCAGCATTGTCGAGATCGGCCGCCTGGCCTTCTGAAAAGAACCTGTCGCTGGATTTCAGCACGTGGAAGTATTGTGCCAGGCCCCACGCACATGTACTCACAATCCTGGCTTCGTGCTTGCATGATTCTGGCAACAGTGTAACGCACTCCAACGTCAGCTCAGCCAGCCAGGCAATCAAAACAGGACTCTGCGCAGCTTTGCACCTGAAAAACACTAGCGTGTTTTTTCTGTCACGCTGTATTGCTGCAGGTGTAAATCTCCTGCATGAGCAGGTCACGCCGCGGTACGAACACCAAGCTTTAAACCTCATGAAAAGGTCATGCAGGACATCTGAATGGGAAGCCCCAGCAGGAAGCGTTACAGATCCCACCGGCCAAAGATGCATGTCAGCCCGCGTTTGACACAGCCACCACAACATATTTCCAATGACCACCCATGCAATACCAAGGTTTACTATGTGCATGCTGTCGCCTCGTGTTCTCTCCAACCTCCACCCAGGGACTTGAGTAAGAACGCTTTTTTTGTCACACATCTGAAAATATGCTTCATGCGAGAGGTTCGTCGTTCTCCAAAGTGCTTGCGGCCTCCAATCCCAGAACGCGAAACTCTCTAGGGTCTTACTTGCCCAGTCCCGATGACAGCAAAAGTTGTGGCGATACCCCCTGAAAGAATGCAGAGCTCATGTGTCCCCATGTTCTAAGCTTCCAGCCTGTCCGCCTCCTCCTCCTCCTCTTGCTCATGTCCAGTCTTTCTCTCCTCTCCCTCCTCCTCATCAGCCTCCTGAGTTGTTTTGACTCCGCTCCCCTCTCACCCCAACCCGCATCTTCTCCCACTGCGGGCCGAGGACGCGTTGGGCGGCAAAGGGAAAACATGAACAGTGCATTGTAGTTCAGACCCGCGGGCCAGGAGAGACTGCAAGCATGAATGTTCTAGAGCCCCCCTTTGTTATATCCTCGCAGCCTTCCCCCCTCCTCCCCTATCCCCCTTCTTTGGGCCCTTTGCAAGCCCCGCCAGGACGGTATGTGCATGTTTCTCTCCACCCGCGGGTCAGAACTCCCAGGGGCCTCCACATAAACGTTTCGGATGACCACTCCCAGTCACCCCTGTACTCGCTGAAAAGGCCAGCGAACCCACCTGCCAAAAATCCACCGGAGTCGGCAGCCAGGCGCTCTCGTCGACTACCAGCCGGCCAAGGAGTGCCATTGTGGTCGCACTTTGGGTATCTCCCCGAAACCAAATGTTGCAGGGACCATGCCAAAATAGAGTACAGCTCCTCGTCTGTCTTGCCCTTTATGAGAAACTCGTCGGGCACTACAGTAAAAAGAAACTTCGAAAACAATGTTGGAGCTCTGCAAGTGGTGGATCCCCACGCGATGTTCAGGACTTTGTCGCGGGAAATGTGTTGCCCCTTATCGGCATGCACGCCGATAGGGATGCACATGTCGAATTGGTGACCATACTGTAAAAATCCTGGATGGTTCTGGACCCAAGGCTTGTCCTTCTCATGCTCCCAGAATGCTTTGAGTTGGGCTTGATCACCTCCCATCATCATGTACTGAAACGCTTTCGGCCCCGCCTGAAAAATCGCTCCGAAAATTTCGTGTGGGTAGAGCACGCTGAACTTCTTTTTTTCCTCACCGTGGTCCCGAGCAGCTTTGCAAGTGATATCGATTTCTACAGGTTCTAATATAACACCTCTGTTGGAGCACCATCTGATCAAATCTCTGTGGCAATTTGAGGGGTTCGTTCCAGAGGATCCCAGAGAGGCCCACTTCGAAGTAGCATCATGATTATCCCCATAGTCTCGCAAGATGTCGGCAGCCGTTCGTTGGGCCTCTGCTGCAGAAACCAAGCCTAGGCAGAACTTCTTCAACAAACGGCGACCAGAATAGGTATCCTGTGGTTGGCTGCGTTTGGGCAGCGCTTGAGGGTTCACATTGCAACGACCGTTCTCCCCTCCCCCTCCTACAACTCCCCAGCGAGGTACATAAAAGGAGGGAGTGGGTCATGAACGATCGTCGCAATGGGAATCCGCAGCTTCCACGCACCCCAAACTTATAGTCAACCAATCCTCAGGGTTCGGCCCCCGAGCTGGCGCGCATGGCTGAGCTACCTGGCTCGCGCGCCGCCGCGCTGCTTCGTCGTCTAGGCCTGCCCGACGCGCAGCGCGCTTGAGCATCGCGGCTGCCTCGAGGCGCGAGTTGCGGAAGGGTTCACCACCTCCCTTGGGAACGGCCCCTCGAAACCGCTGGGCCCCAGGACACTGTGCAATCGCACCGCGGTGCGTCCCCCAAGAAATCGGACCCGGGCGGCCAGGGCAGATTCGACCTTGGAGTTTCTAACCTCGGTGTCCCGAAGGAGGTGGTGGCTTTTCATGCATACAACCCCTGAACCTCGTTTGGTAAACCATAGTCCCCCGACATCCAAATGGGATTGCCCTGAAGGACCCAGAAGGGGGACCCCCAACCTTGCCTCGCGCAGCTGCAATGCTCTCGAGCAGCCTGCGCATGCAGTCGACCATCGGTCCCAGCATGGAGGGGAAGGAGGAGGTGGAGGCAGGGAGAGAGAAACACTATCAAGAGGGAATGAGGAGGACGAGGGAGAGAGAAGCAAGACGCGCTACAGAAGGGAGGCTCCAGCTGGTGATCCAATGGAGGATTGCACTTCGCAACATCACTGGACGCACGAGCGGCCTATCGACAGCCCTTCGAATTTCAGCGTCGATCTAGCATGCAAGAACATACACTTCAGCCTGGCTGGCGCTCGCCCGGCACGTGAAGAATCGTCTCAGACAGAAGTGGAATCACACAAGGGATATCGAGCACGATATATCACGTTTTCTCACGGTTTCTTATTTCTCGTCCGAATCATGTTATATCAATGATTGTTTGCGCGGACCCCAACATACGGCTCGTTCTAGGATGGTATAGCTTTTGGTGCGAGAGCGATACGCATGTGGCTGTTTCAAACATATGTATACAGGGTTCACCTCTGAGTTCAAG